AAAGTGCTTATACGGTATGTTCTGGGACCAATTTGGACGCATTGATGTCAGTACAACCGACTTGTCAATATGGAGAATGTCAGTGTGGCGCGAAACAGGGTGTACCTTGGTTCTCACTTGTTTTACTGACCCCATGCAGAAATCACGCAGCTCACAGGACGTGCGTGGACGTCACACAAACACGAGACTAGCCTTATTAAAGCACATTCCTGCTCGGTATGGACCCACATTGAAGTGACAGTGCTGAACAATCCTATGACAGCCCAAATCCACGCGATCGTCCATGGTGAGCAGCGTGTGCCGTAATGAACCAGCAAACTTTTTTTTGTAACTGTGGTATGGACCACGAGGGACAAGAAAAGCCTTTGGTTTGAGCCGAGGATGGCCAGCTTGCCTTCTCTTGCTGGCAACAGATCTGATTGAAAATCCCAGGCAGTGCGCTGCCACAGTTGGAATCCAGCTCCGCCGCAACAACCGTCACGCTCTCTGGGTTGCAGGGCGTTTACGGAGTGAGTTCCGGCCGCCAAAGAGCATTTGTCGCTTGCCCACCATGACATGACGGGACATTTGCCCTGGTTTATCAGCTTAACCAGATTGTGAGACCCTGCCCCGACCAAACTCTATTCTAACCAGATAGAATACAGACCTCTTCGAAATCTCCGATTCCGACCCCTCAAAGTTGCTCTTCGTTATTGCTGGGAAAGTCGCCAAATCAATCAGCTTACTGTTTAACTGATGGTGGATGTCTGCTAACTAGTTTTGATGTCGGTTCCTGGCATGATAGACAGCAGAGCGAGAGGCAAGCAAGCAGCACAGGGTCAGAGGGAATTGTACACAGACGAGGAATTTTAAGATGACCACGTCGATGACCACCTTTCCTCTTCAAGTTCTCTTTCAACCATCTCTTCGTCAAACTTTTCTGGACACCACTAGTAACGCAGAGTTCGAAGTGAGAATCGTCAAGGGGGATTCAGAACCCCGTGATTTCCTGGCATTCTGCAGTGGTAGGGTGTACTTATATGCCGTAAAGGGTGTTCAAAGTAATGCACCAGCTCGACATCGATGCACGTTGGTAAATGTTGACCGTCGGATCAAAACTTCCAACCGTCAGGATTCACCAACGTCCCTTGACGTCGAGTTTTGCAGCACTTTGTACCTCCATGAGATCTGCTTTTCACAATGATTGTTTTCCATCACCCTGGTGTTCACACCACCTTGACCTGGCTTGACAGGTGTTTGGATCCGCCTTAATTCCCAAGACCTGAATTGCTCAACGCAAGTCAATGCGGGGCAAAACTGTGGGCTGCGGGAGGCAAACTGTACAGAGTTTGCCCTCGTTTTTTGTAATTCGGTTTTGGGTTTTAAATGGCAGATAAGAATGTGGAACCTTCTCCATTTGTTCAGACAAAATAGGAATAACACCCTGCCATTCCTGGAAACGCCTCACCAGGCCCCCATTTGTGGCAGGATGAACCTGGGTGTTCTCAAAAACATTTCAAGTACCCAGTCGGATCCGTCAGGGTTCCCTACATAGCCCACACTTGCGCACGACGCCAAACGAAGGCGCACGGTGGCGAACAACCGGCATGACGAGCTTGCGACAGTGTTTTGCGAAAAACAACACTTTACAGGCGTTACAGAAAACGCATTTCTCGGAAAATTGCTATGCAACCATCGAGAGCGATCATTTGGACAGCAAACCCATTCACAAACCCCTGAACACCAGATCATTGCACCAGCCTCCAGCCTTTCCTTACCCAGCTCACTCCAGCCCCATGTTCTGAACGCCATTCATCCATTCCTTCCCGCTTTCATTCCCCATATTCGTAGTAAGACGGTGCCTTAATACGCTAGACTATACCAACACACCAAGTACATCTGTAAATCCGGCTTCAAACCCCCTGCATATTTTTAACGTAGCAGTATGGCTGACATTGTAACCGTTGAGGCTGAAGTTGCAGGAACCAATGTGAGCTCTGCCAGTGCCGTAGCCAACAACCATCGCGTCAGATCTGTGTTCAGCACAGATAGCAGCAGGCTTCCGGCAGCAGTCGTGAACGGAGACGGCCACACGTGGCTCAAGTACGGCAAAAAACGCATCGGAAACCATGTCAGGTCGTAAATCTCAGGCCATCAGATATTATGTAATTTTTTTCTTTTTCGGAAGAGCAGTTCAAACTCTAAGTTTCTGGGCCAATGGCCCTCGAGACTGCTGTTCCTGCAAAGGACTTTTCTCAGGTTGTCTTCAACCTTAGCTTCCTGACAGAGCTGATCATGTTGGGAGGCCCTACAGTTCTCTGTTTGGATTTTCTGAGTAATCAATGATGCTGAGTGTCTCCAAGCCCAGGAATCCTCCCGAGAAACCAGCGTGACCCATTTGTACCCATGGATACGCATGGAATCAGTGAAGGAGACGCATCCAGGACAGTAACACATCCTGCTTGTGGTCTGATCTAAAGCAAGGGGTGCTCTTCTTTACCACATCAATCCCTCTCACACATTTTTCCTATCGTTTCATCCTCACTGAGGACGCAGGTAATAGGACAACACATGTGTCTTTCCAGGGCTTCTGAAGCCTGAGGTCCCCTCCACATTTTATTCCCCTCTCATATTTCTCTTATCCGTACCTCCCTCACGTACGTGCTAGGTCCAATGGCACAACAGATGCATTCTTCTAAGGACCTTCAAGGCACTCTTCATTTCCACATTCCATGTTTCTCTCACATGTTTCTCTGATCATTTACCCTCCTCACATAGGTTCTAAACCAACGGGTGAGCATGGTCCAAGATCTCTGAAGCATGATCTGCTCTTCATCCCCACATTCCATTCCTCTCTCACACCATTCTTTAATCTCATTACCCTCTCAGAGGCTTCAAATAAGTGAAGGCTTTACAAGCGCCTCGTCCAAGGTCTCCGCAGCCTGAGTTTCTTCTCATTCCCACATTGAACTCCTCTCTCAACCCTTTATTTTATATCTGTACCTCACTCACACGTATTGTAGGACAACAAGAGCGTGTGGACCTAGATTCTTGAAATCTGAGCTACTCCTCATTCCCAAGAGCCAATCCTCTCTCACATGATTGCCTTCTATTTACCCTCCTCACGCAGGCGCTAGGACAATAGGTGCGCTTGATCCAAGACCCTCTGAAGCATGACATCATTTCCACATCCCATTCCTCTCTCACACCACTCTTGTCTTGTATCTATTCACCCTCCTCACATAAATGCTAGAACAGCAGGCGCGCCCCGCCCAATACCCCTGATGCATGAGCTGCCCCGCATTCTCACAATGCATTCCCCTCTCACATGCCTCTCCTATCTCTTCCACCCGCCTTCTGTATGTGCTAGGAAAACAGTTGCGTTGACGTCCACAATCCCTGGAGCCTGAGTTATTTCATTCCAAAGTTTCACTTATCTCTCACATGTTTCCCCTTTATCCCATGCAGGAACAACACATGCGCCTGCTCCAAGATATCTGAAACCCGAGTTACTCCTCATTCCCGCATTCCATTCCTATCTCACATGTTTCTCCATTCCCTTTACCTGCCTGACAAGTGTGCTTGGACCAAGATTCTTGAAGCCTGACTCACTCCTCACTCCCAAGATCCAATCCTCTCTTGCATGGTTCTCTTCACCCTCCTCGCTTAGGAGCTAAGACAATGGATGCGCTCGGAGCAATCTTGAAGATTCCTGAAGCATGAGATCAGTTCCACATTCCGCTCCCCTCTCACAACTTTATCTTATCCCTTACCCTCGTAGAACAACAGGTGTGCCTCGCCCAAGGTTCACGATGAGTTAACCTTCATTCGTATGTTCCATTCCTCTCACACATATATCTCCTAACATTTTTCCCATGCTGTTACAACAGGTGCTTCTGATCCAAGATCTCTGAAGCCTGAGTTATTCCTCATGCCACATTCTTTTCCTGCCTGACATGTTTCTCTTTTCTCTTTACCTCCCTCACAAGTGTGCTTAGACAAGGATATTTTTTCCAAATGATTTTTTTTTTTCCCAAGATTCGTTCATCTCACATTTTCACTCATCTTCACCCTCCTCACTCGGTGCTAGGACAACGGGTGCGCTTGGTCCAATTTCCCTGAAGAACAATATTATTTCCACATTCCACTCCTCTCTCGCACCTTTCTTGTATCTCTTTACCCTCCTCACATAAATGCTAGAACAACAGGTGAGGCCCATCCAAAATCCCTGAAGAATGAGTTGCCCCTCATTCTCACATGTCCCTCTTATCTCTTCACCCACCCTCCCAGACCCCCTGCATGTGCTAGGACAGCATGTACGCCGTGGTCCACGATTCCTGAAGCCTGCGTTACTCCTCATTCGCAAGTTCTGTGCCTCTCTCATGTTCCTCTCTTTATCCCATAACCGCAGGTGCGCTTGGCCGAAGTTCTCTGAATCCTGGGAGACTCTTCATCCCCTCATTCCCTTCCTGTCTCACATGTTTATATTTTCTCTTTTATCCCCACATGCAGGTGCTACTACAGATGCGCCTGGTCCAATAGTCCAATGGCGTGCCTTGCCAGAAAAACCATGGACTTCGGCCCTGCACGCCGTACTATGAGCCGCACCACGGGTGATACTCATGAGCCTACTGCAGACGCCAATGGGTTGGGCAACACCAGTGTAACACCGCACACCATGGTGGCATCTGCTGAGGAGATAACAGCTGACACCGCCGGCAGCACCCCAGTCTATCACTCAGACCCAATCTCATGCCCAGACTCAGTCCACCGTGGAGCACCTGTCAGCCATGAGCTCACGGTGGTCACTGTGTACCATCATGACCACAACCACCAGGAGCGTGGGCCTCCCCCACGGCGCCACAAGCGTCAAGCAGCCCGGCTTGAGAAGGCGGCAGCTGCAGCGGCAGCAGTGGCGGCAGCAGCAGCGTCTGCCAGCAAGCTGGTCAAAGCGAGGACGCTTTCCCCAAGGCTCACAAAGATTCTTGCCAAGGCCCAGGAGAACTGGCTAATGATGGGTGCTAGTCAGGAGGAAGATGCTTCACACCCCTCTTCACACCCCCCTTCACATGCCCTTTCACATGCCCCTTCATATGCCCCTCTACATGCCCCTGCCCCTTCACATGCCCCTTCATATGATCCTTTAGTTCCCCTTTCACATTCCCCCTCACATCTGCCTTCACATGTCCCTTCACACGCTGCTTCATATTCCCCTTCACATGCCCACTCACATGCTGCTTCACATGCCCCTTTGCATCCCCCTTCATATGCCCCTTCACATGCCCCTTCACATGCCCCTTCACATACCCCTTCACATACCCCTTCACAGAACCCTTCACATACCCCTTCACATACCCCTTCACATACCCCTTCATATACCCCTTCACATACCCCTTCACATTCCCCTTCACATTCACATGCCACTTCACATGTAGCTTCACATCCCGATTCACATGCCCATCCACATGCCCCTCTGCATCCCCCTCTGCATGCTTCTGAGCACGCCCCCCATCACCACCCTCTGCACGCCCCTCTGCACGCCCCTCTGCATACCCCTCCCCAAACCCCTCCACATGGCCCACACTCCTCTCCGCACGCCCTTCCGTGTGTGTACAGTTGGGGTTCCCTTAGCCCGTTTCCCTCGAGATGCAGCAACCGACTCGAGCAGCAATCACAATCGGCAGGGCAGTCTGTGGCCGCACACATTGCAATAGTGACAGAAGATCAGGAATGTGAAAACCAGGGGCAAGCAGATGAGCCACAGCTGCAGGTCGATTTCTTGCCAACAGACGCTACTTTGGGCCTTGCGGGATGTTGTTGGGGCAGCAGCAGCAGTGCTGGTCGATTGCTGCAGCACAAGCAGCAGGAACAGCAGCAGGAGCGGCAGCAGCAGCAGGTGCACCACCCTATATTTGATGTGCTTGGTGGAGGCAACAGCATGAGTGTTCAAGACTTTATAGAGTGCAGCAGTGCTGTGACAACGCAGAAAGCAAATCACATTGTTGAAATCATTCGGAGCCAGTATATTGCTATGGATCTGTAACATAAGTATGGCAAAATCCATATTTAGGTTTACCGATTAATATACCTACCAATGTTAAGAACGGTAGCCTAAAGGAAAACTACGAGAAGCAGTAGGGGAAATAGTAAGAAGCTGGATAAGTGGGAAAGTTGGACAGTGAGAGCGAGTGAGGGAGACAGCAAGAGAGAAAGAGAGGGAGAGAGACAGTAAGGGGTTGATTAAAAGAGAGAGAGAGAGAGAGAGAGAGAGAGAGAGAGAGAGAGAGAGAGAGAGAGAGAGAGAGAGAGAGAGAGAGAGAGACCTTGGAGGACGAGTACGAATAGAGACACGCCCCTGCCAGGGCGGCCTGAGGGGTTGAGGGGGCCAGGGAGATAAGAACATGGTGACAGGAGGAGGATGGGCGGCGGCAGGGGAGGGATACATGGGCGCGGTGAGAAGCAGGGGGGGTGTGCTGAGTCGGTGTGGGTCAGAGGGAACAGGGATAAGGAAGGGCGTCTCAGGGAAGGTGCGAGGAAGCGGCGGGTCGGAGGATAAGGGGAGGTTGTGTGGTATGGGGGACAGGGGACAGGTGGAAGAAGGGGGGTTCTCATGGTCCTGAGCTACCGGGGATCGGGCTGCTCTGAGAGTCAGGGGTGCTTTAGGATGGATGGGCTTGCTCTGTTTGCTTGTTTAGTTCTGGTTCCCTGGCTGCTCCAATATCTAGGCAAGCTAGTTACCACCACCTGCCATGCCCGTACCTTGTGACCCATATAAATGCATGACTGCTTGAGAGAGAGAGAGAGAGAGAGAGAGAGAGAGAGAGAGAGAGAGAGAGAGAGAGAGAGAGAGAGAGAGAGAGAGAGAGAGAGAGAGAGAGAGAGAGAGAGAGAGAGAGAGAGAGAGAGAGCTTCACCTCTCTTGACGACTCAATCGTCGGGCCACTAGTCGAGACACGGGTACAAATGACACGACCCTTTTTCAACACTGCACCTTTGTACGATTGGCTGGCCAGGTGTGAAACTGCATTGCCAGAAGACGAGATAGAGGGCTACACCTACCAGGGGGAAGCTGCATCATGGGCTGGCTATTGCAGTCCATGGGAGGCGAAACGTTGAGTAGGTGGAGGGTGTACGTGCAACGACGCCCAACCCCAACAATGGCCACACTCAGCGTATGCTGCTCTTGTCAGATTATGGAGAAGGGGTTTGGCTGAATGCAATACCTCTCGTGCCATCCCTTTGACGGGGAGGTTCACACTTCGCCACCGCTCTTCAATTCAGGCTTGGACTACCTTTCTCGGCCCTAGGCGCATGTGATACTTGCAGGGTGAAAATCCCCGACAATCTACTACGTTGTGCCATAGGAGGAGGGAGAACCAATACTTACAACGAGCTGAGGGATGAGTGTGACATGATGGCGCAATACACAGGCTTTATGGCGCAATATGCACAAGGAAATGACAGTTTTTTTTTTCGGTCGACAACAAGAAAGCGAACCTGCCCATACGTGACAGGTCCTCGGGGGCGGTATGGATATGCCATGTAACTATTACCGACCCGATCAGCACACAGGATATCAGGGTAGTCAAAGGCAGAGGCTGCACGCAAGGCTGCAAACAAGAGAGAGAGAGAGAGAGAGAGAGAGAGAGAGAGAGAGAGAGAGAGAGAGAGAGAGAGAGAGAGAGGGAGAGAGAGAGAGAGAGAGAGAGAGAGAGAGAGAGAGAGAGAGAGAGAGAGAAGCTTCCCAGAGGAAACACCGGGAGTATGAGGGGCGGCCCAGCTACGCCGGCTTCTTTGGGCTTGCAGTTGAGACCTACGGCGCGATAGCGGCTGACGCGCTTCAATTCCTCCGCATGTTGGCCACCAATGCCGCCAAGACGAAGTTCATGCAAGGCCGACTTACCACCACAGCAGCCCGGCTCAATGCTCACTACCGCCAGAGATGGTCGGTGATGCTGCAGCGAAGCCAGGCCATATCACTTCTGTCCAAGTCCAACCGCGCGGCAGAAGCGGCCTTCCCTCAGGCAGCGGCTGACCCATTGACCCCACGGCTTGGGGACCTATGGCAGATGACCACGGATGAATATGAGGAGCGAGAGGCTCCTGCCAGAGCAGCTTAGAAGTGCAAGAGGGAAGCGAGTGGGGCGGAGGGGGTGGAGAGGCAATAGCAGGGGTACTTGGGTTGGATAGGGGGAGAGGAAGGGAGGCTGTCGGGGGGACTGGTGTGGGGGCTGCTGGTCGGTTGGTCTCCCTCAGAGCTCAGGGTCTAGTGTGTACACACACACGGTTTGCCTGCTATGCTGGCTCGGCCTGCACTGCACTACTTGTTCGGTTTTGCTAGTTTGTTTGCATGCGGCTGGTTTGTTTGTTGGTTAGCTCTTGGTACCTCCGTGCCTACATGCATCCAACGGAGCAAGGACGTGACCGCGGGCACGATCTTGAGGGGAGCTTCCTCAGCAGCCATAGCGACCCCCCCCCCCCCAAGCAGTCGCTCCAGGGCCCTCATGCTCGGAAGGATCCTCGGGTTTCAAGGGTAGACGGAGGAGCCTCCACAGACCCTGCGCGGCGGCATCACATACAAGGTCATGCTGGCTCTCGCTAAGCTGAGGGTCGGGGGACGCAAGGTTCCGCCCTTCTAGGCCATAATGCAGTTGCCCCAGCACCGTCGCAACGTGGGACAAGCACGCGCCAACCTTTACCATCCGACGCTCTCAGCGGGGAATGTCAACGATGAGAGGAGTCTACACATCCCACTTTCCAGCCCCAAAAATGCTCAAGGAGTCGCAGGGTTTCCCACCACCGGGCGTCATCCTCAGAATCCGAGGCATCAGGTGGGTGATTGGTAGACCCCCACCGGGACGGAGGAGGAGGAAAACGGGCGACAGGACGAGGGTCACGAGGAACGAGAGGCTGCTCTCACTTGGGGGGGGGGGGGGGGGGGGGGGGAGGGGGGTGCACATACGAGACAGATTGAAGCACATGGACGGCTGAAGGCCGCGAGCAGCATCGGAACAGGAACGCAGGGCACGAGAGGTGCCACTATGGCCAATGCTAACTGTGAGGTTGGGTGGAGGTGAAGGAAGAAGTTGCGGAGACGTCTGCAAAGACGGCTGAGGCAGGGGATGGGAGAACGGAACTAGCCCCGACGAATGCGGGTGCGACAACGATCACGATGCTAGCAGTGGAAGTTGCTGCTGCTGCGACTGTGACGCATGAAGTTGAGGCTACTAAAGCAGGGGACGGAACAACTACGGCTGGAAGGCGCGCGGAGGACGAGGCGGAAGACGATGGCGGAAGGACTGCCCGCGGGGCCGTAGATAGGGATGGGCATGTATGCAGGGGGGACCGATACATCGGATTTAGAGGACTGGAGGAATCGCCTCGTGGACGCACCGGGTCGCCACCGACCTCGGCTTTGACCAGGTCAGCGACGACTCGAAGCAGGGCTCGCACCCACCCGCCCTTGGCCTCTTGTGGGGTGGACGCAACAGGATGAACTGCCACGATCTGCTGCCGTGGCAGGCTGCGACGCTTGCAAGTCATCAGCACGACGCCAAAAAACAGACGCGGCGGAGCACGGTGACGATGCAGATCCGTAGCCCGTAGACATAGGAGAGGACGCCGGTGAAAAACGAAGAGAATATGTGAGCAACAGAGACCGGGCACCGACGACAACGGGCCGGCACGAGCCGGCAACGAGCTCTGCAGGAGCTGGCCGACCACCGAGCGGCAGGATGGTGGCCGCCAAACGCGGCACCGACATTGGCAAGGGGAGCCCGGGGGAGAGGCTAAGACTGGAAGAGAGGCCTGGGGGGGCTAGTGAGAGCAGTGGTGAGGGAGACAGCCAGATCTGGGCACTGGCGGGAAAGGCACGGAAGGCCAGAATTGGTAGTCGCGGGGCAGACTGATAACTTCATCAATGAGGAAGGAGATGGGAGTGGCAAGGAATATATGGAGTCGGAAGAGGCTGAATCTGAGAATGTCTCTTTAGAGGCAGAGCATGGGGTGCCCAATTCTAGCATAAATTAAGGACGTGGGAGGGTGCGAAACGCCCTGGCGGCAGAGGTGGCGGAATCATGCAAACAACCCAACATTGTGGCAGTCAACGAGGAACGCTCGCCATCCAACATTGCTGATGACGAGACAACGTGTCGTTGAGAGGAGGAATGGGATATGGGACCATTGCACAACAGCGCACAACCGTTCCTAGTCCCGAAACTTCCTCCTCAAATCCTGGGGGTCTATAGCAACTGCCTCACAAATCCCCTACTGTGACTTTCCAAGAAACCCACCTGCCAATGAGAGTGACGACTCCTTCCGCGACTGGCACTTAAGGCGAGCATTGAGAAAGCATCTGGAAACGGGTGGGGCGAAGTGGAGACAAGCTCCACCAGTTCAAGTCAGATAAGTGGGACATGCTGTACTCACAGGCCTTCACCATCCCACAAAACTCCCAACCGAGCCGACATCAGCCAGACCCTAAGGGCATCTGCGCCAGGGCCGAAGGCTTGGTTCAGAAATTGAACCTATCCAAAGCAGCTGAAGCATTGCAAACGTCGCCATGAGCCCCCAATCACAACATTGGAGGCATTACGAGCTGAACACCCGAAGTCCTCACGAGAAATCATGGGCTGGGTAACAGGGTTCACATCGTCCAACCTCTTGACCTCAGCTGAAACTTTTCACGAAGCATTGGCGAAGTGCCC